ATAATTAAGCCTTAAATGGTATAGAGATCTTAGGCAGTTGCCTAAGTTTCCTAAAGACTCGCGCCAAGAAAAATTAAAACTATATTGTTGAAGATCATAGAAAAATTGAATATTGTTGAATGTGTAGATTAAACCTAACCGTACCCCTCTTTCGATTTTAACTTTCTCATTCAACACTATTACTTCTAAAATCATATTACACACTTAATTATCTTTTCTAAAAAATTTCTTTAAAGATAAATAGCTCGAGACACCAAATACCTTTTTTCTTATTAATATATATAAAGTCAATACTCTATTTACACAATTTTTTATTACAACTTTAACCCTTAAAATAAAAACAAAAATTATACAACAATAATTAATAAGGGTTATAATTTTTTTAATTATTAAAAATATAATAATTACACACTATCACACTACCATATGTATTTAAGTGAAGATACAAAATACGTTTATTTCCACCGGTATGTGTAAACATAAAAAAAAGTAATATTATACATATAACAAAAAAAATTCAATAATTTATACAATATTAATTTTATATTTATCTCTTATTATTATTTTATTTATTATGAAGACATATTATTAATAATAAAGAAAAATAAATACAAAAATAATAAAATTGTATAATTATTTTGTTGTCCATGTAACATTAGTCGAATAAAAATAACTTAAATTGAAAAATAGGTTATAAAATAATGTGCGAAATGCAATTTAAACAAGCACGCCCTCCATGATTGGAACAGAAAATTTGAAAACGCGCCAAGTTTCAAAACCGCGAATTCGAAGAAGAAAAAAAAAACCCTAGTTTCCTTCCCCTAAATGCCTGAGCGAGTGCGTGAGTCTATCCTCAGATCGCCAATTCTTTCGATTTCTCTTCTTCAATTCTTCAGTTACAGACAAACACTAATCCCTAAAGTTTCAATTTTCGTGATTCATTTAGTGCTCGCTCATCTGCATTAGCACCGAGAGCTCTGTGTTCGTTGAATCCCTCGCAGCTTTGAAGAAGTTGTGCCACCAAGGTTAAAGCTCAGTTCTGTCTCTGAGCCTCAGCTTTTGAATCTATCTTTCACTTTTTGGGCTTCGATCTGTTACTCTGTATTGTGTTTATCTGTTTTTAGTCTGGATGTGAATGAATTTTGCTTGCTTGAAGTTATTTTACTGGAACCAGTTAAATTGTTCTCTGTTCTTCCCTTTAAATTTTGCCTTAAATTGATGAACTGGGTGGGTGAAAATTTGTTACTGTAATGTGGTTTAGGGAACATAATTGAAAATAAGAGGATAGTTATAAGATGACGGGCAGTTGTGTTATGGTGTGGATGCAGCACGGTAGTGGAACGTGTACACCCCTTTACTTCTATACTAATTGCACCGTGAACTTGATTCTGATAATTGCGCCAGTTTTTACCAAATTGTTTGTTCTGTCAGTTAATCTGGCACTATGATTACAATGGAGTTTCGTTTGAGTTTGATTTCACTGATTGAAGGCTCCGATCCAGTAGCTCTAGGCGCAACTCAATTTAGTTCTTTCTTTACTTTCACTTTCTGATATGAAGCAAATGCAATTAGATGTTAGCTTTTGCATTGTAGTACGGCTGTCTGCCTAATTTGGATCTTAGTGAGTGAATTACTTATTTCACTGTAACATTGTGAGAGAATCGTGATTTGTGTGTTTGGTTATACGGTGAAGAAATTTGAAATTGAGCCAGCTTTTTGCTTGTTTGCTGATGCATCATGCTTTTGTCCATGTGCGTGGCAAGCATTTGAAGTTAATTGGATTGGGTGGGAATAAGGTAGAAAATAAAATAAACCAAAAATTAAAAAAGAAAGATGACACTTAATTTTTTAAAGCCTTCTAGCGTACTAAGAATCTTGACCTTAGCCTATTGAGTAACTCCTTATCTCAAGTTGAATAGAACTCACTTAACCGAACTATTAGGAAGTTTAAAATAAATTGATTCTCTTGTAAAGAAACATCTATATTCTAATCTATGTTATTCAAGGTATCATCCTATATTGAAAGAAAAGCTATAGAGTTGAATATAAGAGAAATTTGAACAGATGTTGCTTAAGCGCTACATATTATTATTAGGGATGTTATATTTAGCTCCAACACTTCAAATTGGAGTGCTAATGGTAGCAACAAATTTTTGACTTTCAACTAAGAGTTAGGATTTTTGCATTGCTTGATTCACCTCTCCTCTGCTTCCTGTACTATTGAGCATTGACTCATTTTTTTATTATTTTTTGAAATTTGTGTTTTTTATATGATGTATTTTACAATGTTTTGCGGTTTTGCATTTCTTTTTAACGGAACTGCAACAAAAACTGCAGTTGTTGAGTTTCATATTGATAATTTTTTTTTTCATTAAACATTAAAGCTAGTGGATGAAGTTCTGCCATTTGTAGAACAGATGCGAGCTTTCTTTGTTGATTGATTTTTGTTGTCTTTATAACTAGTTTGAGAAGAAATTTTTTTTTTTTGTAATAAAAAATTATAAATGTATTGCATGTTTCAAACAATGTTTTTTAATTTGCAGTTAACTCTTTCGATGAGTTAAAAGAAAGTGTAGAAGCTGGAGGATAGGATGGCCAAGTACTATGATATTGATGATATTATAATGGAGGAAGAGGTAGGCTTTAGACTCTTTATTTTTGCTTCCAATTGATATGTAAGGTAATGGTAGTCTTGGAATATTTGATTTTTTAATTAAGGGAAAATGTTTTGCTACAGTAGTTATACTTACGAATTACAATGCTGTAGCCCGCCACGTTTTATGCTATTGCTAATTTTAACAGGATCAAATCATGATATCTGCAATTAAGATACATAATGCAACCTGAATTTCTTACCCTAATACTATGGTTTGTTATTTTCTGGTCGCAGGCTGTGTTAAGTATATTTAAGAAGGCTGCATCTGGAGTGGGAATAGATCCCAGTTCTGAAATTGACTTTGTAAGAGCCATTTACACTTATATATATATATTTCCAAGAGGATTACTAGTAATATACTCTCCAACTCGTTTTGAAATACACTCTCTGCCATTGATCAAAATTTATTACAAACTAAAAAATTATGAGCGACTTCTTAAATAATAAATGAGACTTGCAAAATTTTATGATTTCCAATAAAATTTAGCCAATAACAAAGAGTGTGTTGCTAGCATTTCTTTATTTTCAAAGGAAAGATTTATTGTCAGTGTCACTAGATACCTTCTATGTGTAACTTAATAATTTCACCTGACATTACTTTGTTTGACTTTCAGATTGAAACAGGTTCAAAAGTTGAACTGCCTTTTTGGCTTGCTCATGAGTTAAAGTTGAGACAAGCAGTATCAGTCAATGTTCCCTCTTGTTTCAATGAAAAGTAATGATTGTTTTATGTCTTTCTGCAACTTATAAGTACATTCTATCATATAATGGAGCATGTCATGACATTGACAACGAGTTAGGAAACACTTTTAAGTATACTTCTATTTCTGTTGCACCTGAAATGTTTTACCAGACCTTACTGATTAACTCTTGTTTCCTGGGCTTTCAATGGATTTTGGAGCCAATTATTTTCCGTAACCTTAATTTTCATGTACATTCCATCATTGAGTGAATGGTGTTGCATGGAACTATGGGTAACAACAATAATCAATATACATGGCTTTCATAGAAATTGTTAAAAAATAATAATGGCATATGTATACTAAGCTGCATTGTCACTCATATTGAAATGTATTAGAGGGATGTTGATGGCTTGAAGGTGTCAAACTTTTATCTTATAATTGGTTTTTGATTTCAGAACAAGGTCAGAGATCCAAGCTGATTCTGCGGGTGTGGATCTGAGGTCCAGATGTCCATTTTTTTATGAATTTGGTTGCAAGATAGCACCCATGTAAGTCTTGCTTATGCCTATATTTTCTTGCTTGCATTATCTGAAATTTGGCTTTAATTTTACTCACTTTATTTTAATGCATTTTCTTATATTTTATTGGTTAGCTTTTACGATTGTCTTGCAAGATAGTATATGGTTTCCATGTGTCGTATCATCATCCATATCTAGAACAGACCTATGATTCTCAAGTTTTTGTTGTTACATGGTTCATGCAGCATATCATTCAAATCTTCACAAATTCCATTAGCAAAAATATTCTTGGACACCCTTGAGGTATAGACACTTTGAGAGACTAGGAGGAGAGGAGAATTAAATGGTTGATATGATATAATAAGAAGAGATAAAGAGAAATAAGAGGTGTCACTTGAGTGTTTGTAAATTGTGGGTGTCCAAATATCATTACTCATTCTGAATTTATTACGAAACAACCTAATAAAAATGTAATATAACAAAATGTCCAAAAATAAACCAACCGGCTATACCACAAATCTTGAGTCCATAGTTTTAAAAACCGGACCAGTCATCGAACCGGTTAAGGTACTGGGTCAGTGGGTCAAAAGTTGAACTGGTGGGTCATTAGTTGAACTGCATGACTCGATTTTTATTTATTTTTATTAAAAAAAATATTCATATTAAATATATTTTATACTTGTAAATTTTAATAAATTCATATCTTATTTTAAATTTCAATTTTTCTATCTTATTTAAATTATTTTTATTTTTATTTTGTAAAAAAATACATAAAAAATAACATGTTAAACGGTATATTAATACAAATTAAAAATATAAATAATATGTACATATATAATATGCTAGCAATTAATATCACAAAATAATATGTAATATTTACATAGATATTATATTATTAAATATATAATTTAAAATTAATAATATACGATAAAAGTTATTTAAGTTGTATATATTGCAAAAAAATATATTAGAACAAGTAGTCATTGTTATATTTAATAAGACTCCTTACTTTTCTATTAAGAGATTTAATTTTCATTATTATTTTTGTGGTTTATGGTCCCTTAAAAAAATTTAAAAAAGAAAAAAGAAAAAAAGTGGTTGAACTCAGTTGAACCGGAAAATTGACCAGTTCAATTCGGTTTGAAACGGGTCGATTGCATAACCGATTCAACTTAGGATTCGGACCTGCTGGACCACCGGTTCCTGGTCCAACCGGTCCGACCGGCCGGTTCGGTCCGGTTTTTAAATCACTGCTTGAGTCAAACAACTTTGGCAACTTGTTTTGTTGTACATTGTTGATTTCCTTTTCATTTATGGCAGAGTTGACGACCGAAAAATTGGGATTCTGTTGCTGTCTGCATTTAAGAGTAGGTACAAGGAAATTCTCACCAAGGCCCATACTGTAGCATTTGCAGCTGGTTCCAAATTTTGGACTATTCTGACGAAAGAAGAGATCAACTGTGAGACTTTTATCCTGGCTAAATGAAATATGCCTTTAATCTTCATTTATGAGGTCATATTTTTTTCCCTCATGACATTCAATTTAATTTTTGTTCTAATGCTTTATGTAGTGTATGAGACAGCTCGATCCGCAATGGCGTCCTTCAAGAAGTGGCGAATGGGCGGGCCAAGATTTCAGATAGCATCTGTTCTAGGAAAAAAGAGAAAATCTACTGCATAGTTGTTTTCTAACCTTATTAGACATCTGTTTATGTTAATCGTTTGGACCTGCAAATTATAGGATGTTTAGAAGAATGGACAAAATGTGAAATTTCTGATGCTGATCATGTAGACTTCAATACAATAATACGTTGTAATTTTCAACTATTGTTACAGACAAAAGAAAAACGGACGCTGAAAATATACAAGAAGTTAATTTATTGATCATTTTGTGGCTATGTTATGTGCCACGGAAGCCGTAGGCTTGAGCAAGTTCGGGTAGTTGGTTTGATTTAATTCATGATCTAACTCAATGAAATATATTTAGGTTGAGTTGGACTGAATGTTCAATTTTTTTTTTGTTAGACAGCCTAACTTGATCTAACTTAATCTTAATTAGGTTGGTTTGAGTAATTGGATTGATTTATTTAGGTATTAATATATTTTTAAAAAATCTGAAGAAATGAAATACATAATTAGTTTAAATCACACGTTTTATTACATCAAGTAAATAATATAAGAACAAATTCTAAAAAATTACTATATTTTTATACTATAGTTTATCATAAGTTGATATATAAATAACTTTGAGGGGTGTTTCTCGAAATTAAAAGAACCAAAATAAAATAACTTTTGAAAGACTAAAATTAAATTTGAAAAATTCTATAGATGTCAAAAATATATTATACTCTTTTATGAATATAATCATAGTTTTAAAAACCGGACCGATCATCGAACCGGTTAAGGTACTGGGTCAGTGGGTCAAAGGTTGAACCGGTGGGTCACTAGTTGAACTGCATGACTCGATTTTTATTTATTTTTATTAAAAAATATTCATATTAAATATATTTTATACTTATAAATTTTAATAAATTCATATCTTATTTTAAATTTCAATTTTTTTTATCTTATTTAAAATTATTTTTATTTTTATTTAGTAAAAAAATACATAAAAAATTACATGTTAAACGGTATATTAATACAAATTAAAAATATAAATAATATGTACATATATAATATGCTTGCAATTAATATCACAAAATAATATATGTAATATTTACATAGATATTGCATTATTAAATATATAATTTAAAATTAATAATATACTATAAAAGTTATTTAAGTTGTATATATTGCAAACAAATATATTAGAACAAGTAGTCATTATTATATTTAATAAGACTCCTTGCTTTTTCATTAAGAGATTCAATTTTCATTATTATTTTTGTGATTTATGGTCCCTTAAAATTTTTTTAAAAAAAATAAGAAAAAAAAGTGGTTGAACCGGTTTGACCCACCGGTTTATCGGTTGAACCGAAAAATTGACCGGTTCAATCCGGTTTGAAACGGGTCGACTGCATAACCGATCCAACTTCAGATTCGAACCGGCTGGACCACCGGTTCCCAGTCCAACCGGTCCGACCGGCCGGGTCGGTCCGGGTTTTAAAACACTGAATATAATACATTAAAAAAACTAATAATAAAAAAAGAAATTATAATCATATCACAATTTTATATTTAGATATAAAAAATAAATATATAAATAATAATTTTATAGTTGAAATATATTTTTAGTCCATATAAAATGAGGTTTTGATATGAGTCCTTGTAGGGATTATTTTAGTAAGCACACTAAGCCTACTATAACATAGAAAAGGAGTATAGGTTATCAATCCTCAAGGGCTTGGAAAATAAATATAAAGTTAAGAGGTAACTGTGTGAGAAACTGTTAGGATTTAATTTCATTTATCTTACTCTTATGTTCTCTTAAGATTATCTATATATAAATTATATCATTTAATGTTATTGAATTTTTTTTAAGTCATTCTAAATAAAATCATTGCCTTTAGAAATTTTAAAGATTTTAATTTAATAAATGATTCCTCATTTTATCAACTCAAAGTCTTTGTATTAAGTTTGAGAATTTGTTCAACTAACAATCTAGCATTTAGAATCATTAAGTGATTTGGTTCAAAATGAACTTAGAAAATGTTTTTTAACCAAAACTAAATCAAAGATCAAAAGATGATTGATCAATTCACTTTAAGCATTAAGAACATAATTAAATCACTAGCATTGAATAATATAATATATTAAATGTGAATTTACAAAATTCACTTTTAATATAAAGTTATTGAGTGGTGTAACACTTAGTAAAAGTTACAGCGGTGTCGTTTGAACCCTCTTCATATATATATATATATATATATATATATATATATATAAGATTACATAAGAGTTTGATGGATTACATTCAATTCTAACAAGAGTGGATTAACTACTCATAGTAAAGAGAACAATCTCAACATACAAAGAAAACATAGAAGAAGAAGATGATGAACCCTGAATCCTCATCCTTAGAGAACTCTCAAAGTTGTTATTCCCTTCAGCATTGTTTTGCTCTATTTGAATGTTGTATTTCTCTCTCCTCCTCACTTGAATATGTGTGACAAATAAAATAGTGTAAGTAGAAAAGAGACAAATTTGTTCAACCCTTTCTAAATAGTTGAGCAAATTTTTGAATTCTTGAAGGTAAAGAAAGCTCCATCAACTAGGCCTACATTAATTCGTTGAGTCCCTAAGAATCAAAATTTTCACTCAACCCTTTCTAAATGGCTTAGTGGAATTGATAAAGATGAGATTTAGATGAAAGATGTAGAATGAATAAAGTTCTGCTTATCATTACAATTTGAATATTTAAGTTATGGAGTTTCTTGTGCATCAATAAGTTTATATGACAAAGATGTTTAAAAAGATTTATATGGACAAATCACATTTTTTATTTTGCATATTCCAGTGATTGTAAGAGCAACTCCAATGGGAGTTGCTTGTCCTATGAAACAACTCAAATTCCGGTTTCTTGTCATTGGAGGACTCTGACGTGGCAACATGAGTTGCTTGAAGAAGAGAGAGAGTTGCTTCCTCAAGCAACCGTTCCTTACCAGATTTTAAGCAGATAGCTTATTGAACATATTTAGAAACGTTTCAGAAATAATAATGATGAAAATTAATTTCGTATAATATTTATGTATTTATTATTGCTTTATTTTATTTTTAATATCTACTTATTGTGTATTTTTTCTCATAATTTATTTTCTTTCATTGTAGCGTAATTATCCTTTATAATAAAAATTTAAATTTGGTTCATAAATGATTAGAAAAAAAATTCTAAAAGTTGAATTTCTTAAAGTTTCTTACCATTGAAGTAAATTTGTGTTTGAGTTGTTTAATGCTGATATGGCACACTAGGGACCACTTTTTTCATTTTTCAATGCATGAAGCAATTCAAATGAGTTGTTTTCATTGGAGATGCCCTAAGGTCTTTAGATGTGGACAAAGATTATTTTAGATATCAAGAAAAAGGATAGTGCTACTTAGTCCTGAATTACCATATGTTAGTATTATACGAACACTAAATATCTTGCTAATTATAAATTAATCATTTTACTTGTAAGATATAGTTATTCACTTACCTGAAATTGTTGAAACAAAATCAATAATATTTTCCATTATTGTAGAAGATTTTTTAGTCAAATTCTCATAATGATAAATCGCAAACAAGATGGTTTTTTTACATGTAATGGTATGGTCATACACAAGAAATTGTTGCATTTATTGCTTTATTAAAAGAAGAGTGTATTAAAAGAGATGGAGCAAAATATATTTTTTTTAACTTATGATCTTGAAAGGAGTGATGATATAATTATTCAAACAAGTTCGCTTATGAGAATCTAGAAGATCTCTTTACAAAGTTACTCCCAAGTACAATTTTTGAACAACTAATATATAAAATCAGTCTTCTTTTTGTTAAACGTGATTGTCTGCATGAGGGAGATACATTCTCCACTCTTTTAGAAACGTTTCAGAAATAATAATGATGAAAATTAATTTCGTATAATATTTATGTATTTATTATTGCTTTATTTTATTTTTAATATCTACTTATTGTGTATTTTTTCTCATAATTTATTTTCTTTCATTGTAGCGTAATTATCCTTTATAATAAAAATTTAAATTTGGTTCATAAATGATTAGAAAAAAAATTCTAAAAGTTGAATTTCTTAAAGTTTCTTACCATTGAAGTAAATTTGTGTTTGAGTTGTTTAATGCTGATATGGCACACTAGGGACCACTTTTTTCATTTTTCAATGCATGAAGCAATTCAAATGAGTTGTTTTCATTGGAGATGCCCTAAGGTCTTTAGATGTGGACAAAGATTATTTTAGATATCAAGAAAAAGGATAGTGCTACTTAGTCCTGAATTACCATATGTTAGTATTATACGAACACTAAATATCTTGCTAATTATAAATTAATCATTTTACTTGTAAGATATAGTTATTCACTTACCTGAAATTGTTGAAACAAAATCAATAATATTTTCCATTATTGTAGAAGATTTTTTAGTCAAATTCTCATAATGATAAATCGCAAACAAGATGGTTTTTTTACATGTAATGGTATGGTCATACACAAGAAATTGTTGCATTTATTGCTTTATTAAAAGAAGAGTGTATTAAAAGAGATGGAGCAAAATATATTTTTTTTAACTTATGATCTTGAAAGGAGTGATGATATAATTATTCAAACAAGTTCGCTTATGAGAATCTAGAAGATCTCTTTACAAAGTTACTCCCAAGTACAATTTTTGAACAACTAATATATAAAATCAGTCTTCTTTTTGTTAAACGTGATTGTCTGCATGAGGGAGATACATTCTCCACTCTT